TGTGTGTGTGTGTGTGTCTCCTCCCTTTCTGTTCTACTTACCGCAGTGCTTAGACATATCCCTGTTGGCTGTCCTGATTGGTGCTAAGCGCTGTTAAGTTTTGCGTCGTGTGTGTGCGTCAGGCTGTAAACTCCATCAGAGCCTCAGGAGGGGCCGAGAACACGTGACGGGGCAGCTTTGCGGTAGAATGTGGTCAACTCTTTTACAGCTCGGCGTGAAGTGCATCACCTATGACGCACTCCGCGTGTGCATGTGTGTGTACGAGGCTGTATGAAAGAGGGTGTCATGTTTTCTGAGTAAGACGTATGTGACTTCCGTTTAAAATGAATCAACTTTTAATTAGCTACTGACTATTAGCCTGATTTAATTTTAAAAAAAGGGATACTGGTCATTTAGTGTGATGCGAAAGAGGTGAGAATTTTTTCAAAGTGAACCTGCCTCATTTTTCTTCACGGAGCTAACACATCTGGGAATTTCATCAGCCAGAGTTTTAGTGTTTAGGCTTAATTTATAGAGAACTTAATTTTGAATTATAGCCTTTATTTTAGACAACATTGTCTTGATTTAAACCAATACCCACATGGCAGTATGTAGCCTACAATAAAAGAGTCATTGAGTGCAATCTGTATCAATCCTAATGTAAGTGATAGGTGACAAAGTCCTTGTTCTTTGCAAAAATGCAAATTTAAGTTTAGCTGAAGCTAATTTGAGGCATCAGCAGTCTGAGTTGGCCAAATCGAGTGGGTGTCTTCTAAAATGATCCCTTGGTGTGAAATTCCCTGTTGTGTTACGGTCCCTCTGCAGCAGCTTGGCAGGGAAACATGGCTTGAGAAGCCAATAACTCTTGTGCACATAAGTATGTATTCAAAATGGATTTAAAAACATTTGAGCCTATACTTCGACAAGTCTTACGAGGTCAAATTCAACTGTACATTCAACAGCCGTGAACACTATCATGTTGAGAGTGGGGCTGTGACTATCATCATTATCGATTAGTTTTTTAGTCCATAAAATGTAAGTGAAAGGTTAATCACAGTTTTCCAATCCCCAAGACGACGACGTTACATTTTTTGTTCTGACCTGAAGATTTTCAGTTTACTGTCATAGAGGATTAAAGCAGAATAAATTTAAGAAGCTGAAATTAGAGAATTTGGACATGGTTTCTCTCAAAACCATTAATTAAATATCAAAATACAGTAGCTGGCCATTAATTTAATAGTTGACAACTAATCGATTAAATGACTAATCATTGCAGTTGTAGTTGAGAGCCTTGTGAGGCAACTCCACAAACCCGCAACACCTTTTGATTTGCAGCTGCAGTGTTACTCCTAAAACATTTTCCCACAATATAAAATTCGGTGAGTAATTAGAGCTGAAAGGTGTATTGACTACAATGAAAATGTGTGTGTGTGTGTGTGTGTGTGTGTGAGTGTGAGAGAGAGAGAGATTCAGTAGTTTTCCTTCCTCTCACATGTTGTATGACTAATAAAAGTTGTGTGCAACCTTTATTTATGTGGAATATGTAGTTAGGAGCCTGTCGCATGTGTATACTGAAAATAATGAAAATCCATAAAACCATTTTTATCATCATTCCAGGCTCATTTTTTACCATTTTAGGAAAAAACAGTAGTCCCATGTGCCCAAGGACTAAATATAGTGTGTTAAGAAAAACTCACTTTTCAACAAAACGGTTTGACCAATTTGGAACATTTCTTCAGATTTGTGCTAAGGCCAGCCCAGACAACACTTCCACCAAAGGAAATTTTAAATTTCAATTGCAGGCACAAATGGGTTAAACCAAGTATTGAAAAGAACAGTTCCACTGTACCTTGCACTAATGCACGTTACTGTAATTTCAATAGATTCTGTAACCTTTCCTTCAGAGAGGAGGTGCTGGCGTTTGTGGGCAGATTTGATTGGCAGGTTAATTAGCGAGTCCTGACCTGACCTCCGCTCGAAAAATATCCGCGCCATCCACAGTAGTATTTATCCCATAGATTTGCTAGGAAATTTCAGACAATCCCCCACAGTCTGTTTTGATCTCCTGTTATCTTTACCTGTGTAGAAAAAACTTTACTTGCCATGCTCTTGAGATTGTTCTTCCCAAGGGGGTGATAAGGTAGCAGTCGTAGATCTCGTACATCGCGAAAGGTTATATTTATAAACCTTCCCATAACCCTTTAGAAACCCTGCAGTATATTTAAATATTTGCCGTACATATTATGTTCTCTCCTTTAACTCTTAACTCTAAAAGTTGGTGTTGTGTATTGTTGTTAATTTTTGAATATTCTCTCCACAGGATAAAGTGCGCACAGAGAGTTACCGCGACTTCATGTACAGCAACCCCGAGGTGTTCAGAGACAAGGTGAGCCAGCTGAGCAAATGCAAACAGAAATGTGCATTAATGTGCGTGTACAGTATGTACAGAGTAGCCGGTTAAATGTACAGCCAAGCCTATTAACAGAAAAAGGGGAGTGCATTTTTCAGGAAAGACATTAATAAGGTAATGGTGTTTGATTTAAAACACTGGGATTTTATTAGCACCTCGAATGTCGACTGCGCAGTGCTGATAACAGGCACATGCAATCCACCACAAACCCATAACAACCCCCCACCCCAAAAAACCCTTTCAAACCCCCCCCCCTCTTTTTTCCATTGCCTTTAGTTGCAGGAAGCAGTGGCCTGTATCATGACCATCCATTATATGGGCGGCTGCTGGTTAGTGCTGGGATGAGGCTGTAGAGGAGGGAGGCAGGCTGTGTTGATGGGAACGTACATTATCCCTGTCAGAGCGAAACGTTCAGCAGAGAGGGAAGTGTCACCTTCTACAGGAAGCAGTAGATAGAGAACAAAACAGGATATTCTTGTTTCAGTAATGTTAAGATGGGAGGGTACAGAAAGATGGAGAAACCAGTTAGGAGTTGTGTGTTGTGTTGAGTCAGCAGTGTGTTGGCGACCCTCTGTGAACCCATAAAGGCAGCAGGATGCTTCCAGGGAAGTAACCTTAAATAGATACACATATAAAACAGTGTTCTATATACATATATATATGCACGTATAGCCTTTGCAGCTGTTTCTCTGCCATTTGACACCAGTCGGGGGCGAAGATGAACAAATTAACTGTAACCTATGGGAACTTGAAGTAGAGGTGAACTCTTTTGACAATAACGATGGCTAGCGTGGAAACCTCAAGATTTAGAGGCAGTTTGGTGCTGAGGACTTTAAACAAGCTCATCACAGCGAACATACAGAACATTAATTAATTACTTGCCCAAGCAACTAGAGGTCACATGATAGTTGAAGTTCTTACAGCCCTTTAATAAAAATCACCAATGTGCCACACCAGCCTCTGTGACAGCTAATTTGAAGTGAAATGTGAATGTAATGCTATTTACCAGCTGACGTTAGACTCCCATATTATAAGACACATATCATATACTGTATCAAATATGTATTTCTTTTCTACAGAGTAAGTGTTGCTTGGTTATTTTCATTATCGAATAATCTGCTGATTATTTTAATGATTAATTTATTAGTTGTATGGTCTATAAAAGGTGAGAGAATAGTGAAAAATGTCCATTCCAGTTTCCCAGAGTCCAGGGTAATAACTTTAAATGTCTCATTTTGTGAGTCCAAATCAGAAGATATTCAGTATAATATGATATAAAACTGAGAAAAGCAGGAAGGGCGCCTGAAAACAGTATTTGCAGTATTTGCATGGAAAATCGAAATATTTAGCCATTGTAGAAGAATCTGACCAGCAACCTCGTTCGCACTGCAACATCTAAAGTAGTTTAATTTTATACTGACGAAGCTGCCTGAATTCATTGTCACACTTCCCCTCCACCACCGCTTCCTCTCCTGTCTGGCAGGTGGTGCTCGATGTGGGCTGCGGGACTGGAATACTGTCCATGTTTGCCGCCAGATCTGGGGCCAAGAAGGTCATAGCAGTCGACCAATCTGAAATCATCTATCAGGCCATGGACATAGTCAGGTGAGACACACACAGACTTCTTCGTTCTGAGGATATGTATATAAATATGTTTGCCTCCACCCAAATACATTAAAGGTTGATAGAATTTCAGTTATGGTGCTCACAGCAATAAACATTACATTTTTTAAACCCAACAGCAACTCGTCTTTAAGTCGGCGGTAGGGCTATTGCCTACCCCTGTCAGTCACATGACCCTAGCCTTGTACGTCATAGCAGTCCTTTGAGAGTAGATGGGTCTTCGTCCCTTAGTTTGCGTCAGAGGATTGTGGGAGTAGAGGTCTGTGTGACCTCCAGCCACCTTTTATTTGTTGCAGCTGGTTGACTTCAATAGAGCTGCTGTCAGTTGTGTGGCCATAATGCACATAATTTACTCCTTCGGTCTGACTCATTCACCCCTCGCCTCTTCTCCCCTGCAGTAGCTTCAGTTCGAGGTTTGCAGTCACACACAAACACACACACACACACATTCACAAACATGCAGATGACCCCCTGTTGGTACCTTTTAATACAGTCCTCAGTCCAATTTCAGGTGCTGTGTGTTTCCAGTTTTCCAGCAGCTGGTTCTCCACAGTGCAGTCATTTACCACCGTAGCCTCCACTGTCCCTACGTCTACCTGCAACCACTTCCTCCATCACACCCCTGCCTCTAAAATGCATTTTTGAGTTAGGGGCCATTATGACTGCTATTATTACCGTTATGTAAGAGAATGTCGTATAAGCAAAACAACGGGGTTTGCTGAAGGAAAAGGACGTTTTAATTTTACAGCCCACTGACTCGCTGTTGGAGTGTGTGTTGGCATGCAGACTGCGTCGCAGGTTCGCCAGCGGTGAAGATTCAGCTAAAGAAAGATGTGTAACCCCCCCCCCCTTACACACTCACATGTGTGCGCACACATACATACAGAAACACACAAAGCCCTTGGGTCCCTTTAAATCTACTGTTTGCTTGGGTTGTGGTTTTAATGCTGTTACTTCTGTGTGTGTGTGTGTGTGTGGCTGGCTGGCATTTGTGTGTCTGTCACTTCCTCTTGCTGTTAATATCAGGATTGTAATTAAAGTGGCTCCTGTTGGTTAGGCAGGAGCATCCATCTCCTGTCTCCACTCTGTCGCTGAAGTTTAAATGAAAAGCTAGATGTGACTTCCTTCCTTCACAGTCACTTCCTTAATGGATAATGTCTAAATACTTTTTTTAAATGGCTGGAATTGATTGATTATCCAATAGAATTCTTTAAATTCTGAACGAAAACGACATAATATTGTACGTAGATGAGTGCAATTCAGCTTTTATTGGTGATATGAACTAAACATAGACAGTTTGTGGATGTATATCAGCCGATATTTTGCTTTGGTCGAATAATCAGCATTTTATCAGCAAGTAACACACAATATGAATTAATTTAATTCTGGACAACCTGGCAAATGTTAAAATGCCAAAAACATGATTCAAACCAAAGGTTTTGAACTGTTATTAGCTTATTCTAAGGTAAAGAAAACAAGATTTTTATTATCAGGTCATTATATACCAATAAAAACATCCCTATAAATGTTATATTCCATTTCTACCATTAGATCCTCCTAAATGTTACACACTGAACCTTTTAGTATGGTCAATGAGGTGTAAAGCTGAGCTCATCTCTATTTTATATTAACAAGGGGTCAAATGACTACGTAAGGTGAAAGGTTTCACTCGAGTGATGAACCTGCAGAGAATCATCA